AAAGAACAAAATGTAGAAGGAGAAAAAGTAGATCGGCCCCAAAATGGAATCCACACGGGTGATTTTGTCAAAGATCATGTCACCACTGAGCATGGAGAAGCTCTTGTAGATGCAAAGACCAATATCACTCATCTCTGAATACCCTGATCCAAATGCAAAGAAGCTGGTGAGAACGAAGCCGATCTGAAGCATGCCAAACAAGGCCAGGAATGCGATGAAATTTGGTCCTGAAACATGTATCACCTTCAAAATCAAGCCAAGGTTACTGTGCAATCCAGACACCAGGCTCACCGTGCGCAGACTCACCACTAGAAGATTGGCAGCGATGAAGAGCCCTTGAATCTGAAGAGATCTGGCCACATCGCACAAGGACACATATGTAGCTGCCATGGTGCTGGAATTCTGCAAGTCTGCGAAGTTAAAACTTCTGAAGGGCTGCATTTGCTCAATGATCCAGTATGAAAGGAAAACACCCAGAGACACCGTGATGGACACCATATCTGTGAGTGCCCCTGACCGGTGGAAGTGGGCCACGAAGCCCACGTCCCACATGCGACGCAGCTCGATGATCATGAAAATGATCAGCATCACAACACAGGTCACTCGGATGATGTAGAAGATCAAGTATTTGGTCACAGAGGTGTTGAAGACATTCAAATTGAAGCCTCGTGCATCATTGGAGAGCTGGACATGGCCGGAGAAGTCGAATGAGAAGCTTTGCACATATTGCAAGAACATCTCCACGTTACCGTTGTATGCCATCAAATCAATGGTGCAAGTGCCCATTCGCATTCCGAATAATCCCGCTTGCTTCATTCTTTGCAGCAAAGCATCATAGGCATCGCTTCCCCACATGGGATCGAAGAAAGAGGTAAAGCCTCCAACTCGATCGAAACTGCTTCCGGTTTCCCACTGGAAACAACCAGCTTCTTGAGCTGCCTCCGAGCTGCCAGTCCCAGGAACGCAGAGCGTGGTTTTATCCTCTGCGGTGTTTTGTCTGAAGGCATCGAGCCGACTCACTCCGCCGGCCAGTCGGTAGGGAGTGGAGGGCTGAAATTGACCACTGGTCGGCTGCACGGCCCAAAGCTTGAAAGTGAAACGGACCAGGAGGATCCGATTGAAGCTGCCAATTGTGGGAGGAGTCTTGTTGTGTGTCCATGACGACATGTTTTGCCACGAAGCATGCACTGACATGTCTTCTTGTTCGCCGAACAACACCGGCCTGAAGGCGTCCCTCATCCAATCATACACCTGCTCAGGATCTTGCACGTCGTCAAGGAATCTGGTGGTGTTCAGATTCTCCAGCGAGAAAGGGTTCTCAGAGATTGCTTTTGAAATGGTCCGGTAGATCGCATTGGCATCCCAAGTGCCGATGGATTCCAGATTGAGGTAGATGGTAAAGATGGCGAAGACCACATAAAAGGTCGCCAACGAGGCTTGCCCCATGGTCTAATAGTTCAGTGGCTTCTAGCCAATATCGTTCTCTGTCAACTT